CAGAGCGGTGGAGGACAGGCAGGAGAAGCCAAGCGAGAGGGAGGCGGATGGAGGACTGGAAAAGAAGGGGGGCAGGAGCCAGCTGGTTTGGGCGGGAAGATGTCCCAAGAGGGAGCCCACTGAAAAGGTGAAGGCAGCCTGGTTTTGTGGGGGGGCCTCTAGGCTGGGAACACCAGCCAGGGGGTGTGGGGGCTGGGGGAGACTGTGCTCACCCTCCCAAGGGGCTGGCCTTCCCAGGGAGCAAACAGCTGAGCAAACTCCCCCCACAACCCACTGGCCCCAGAGAAGTCTCCTCTGCCCCCCCCACCCGCCTTCTCCTTTTCCAGGCAAGGCTCTGGGCTGCAGCCCCCTGCAATTTTCTAGGAAGGCCCTGCTTCTGGACGCCAGCGTTGCTAGAGGAGGGCGTGTTAGTCTGATCAGGAGGGCCTGGTGGCCCCTTTTCTGACTAAACCGGGGCCCTTGAATAAAGCTCGTTAGCTGCAAGGGGAGCAACCGGACCGCTTCTGATTTTCTTCCCTTTGGTGCTTCGTCCCAAGACGCTGGGGCAGACCTGGCGTTAGGGGCAGAGAGCCTCTGAACCGAGGGAGGTTCTTGGGACGCACGGCTGCCCACGACTGCCCCCAGGAGCTTCCTCGGCCAAGCAAGGCCCTCTGGTGCTCTGGGAACCTGGCAGGGAGCCAGGCCCTCCTGTGCTGGGGGCCCCACTGGCCACTGGAAGAGAGGCCTGGTGGAGCAGGGGCTCCCGCTGGGGGGCGGGGAAGTGCCTGGCACAGCTTGGGGGACTGGAAGCTGCACCAAGCCGAGGGTGTCGCCGTTGGTGGGATGGAAGCAGAGAGACACACCAACCAAGATTTGCAGAGGTCACACCAACATTTACTTCGAGGGACAGATAAGGTAAGGGCGGCCTCCCGCGTCCCCCTCTGTGGCAGCTTCAGGCGAGCAGGTCCAGGAGGCGCTGCACCTCGGCGAGGCTGGACACTTCGGCCGGCAACAAGGAGAGGGCCTGGAGGGACGCAGGGCAGCACTGAGGCCACTGGGCTCTGACCAGCAGGAGCGGCGGGGGAAAACCGCCCCGGGGGGGGCACGTTTTTCCCAAGGAGATTGTAACCGGG